GACACTGAAGCACACACACACAGAAAGCGCCTCTCACAGCGCGCCAGTACTCTTAAGCATCGCATGAATGGAGAATTACACACAAAATTATGTTGAATTGTCAGTTTTGACAGGTATTCACGTAAACACAATTGATTACGTCTTAAGTGAACATAAACAGTAGGGGGAACGTGCATCAGTACATTGCATCCATTGCAGCTGTGCATTCGGTTTTAAAGGGACAGCAGCCTAATTTAGTTGCTATCGTCCGAGTCACTGATGTTAATCAAGCAACAACAGAAAGACAGAAAATCATGCACTGCTCTTGCCTGAAAAACTTTAGTAGCCCTAAAGATTAATCTAAATTTATTTATAGAAATAAATGTCTGCTTGAAAGAATGAAGAATATGGTAAACAAGATGCTATAAAGAATGCAGAATTAGTCTATATAACCATTGGTATTTCATTAAAAAAAAGACCATATTCTTGTTCTTTATGAGAAGTGGTTTTATTTAATTTTAACATAAAGACATGTTGTGGGTCACAGAAGTTAAATCGGTGTCTATCATGATAAAACCTTAATATCAAACCTATATAATGAGTTTGGAAATTTTAGAGAAATGCTTAATAAATGCACTGTAACTAAACCCATTAGATTTTAGCAGACTCAATTTACTGTAGATTTTGTAGACTAAAACCTTATGATATTTAGTCGACTAAAACTAAAAACAATTCAGATGACTAAAATATGACTAAAACTAAATGGCATTTTAGTCAAAAGACTATGACTAAAACTAAATCAAAATTTGTTGTCAAAATTAACACTGGTCCGTACAAACACTAAATGGCCCCTTACCTGTTACCTTACCTATCTACTGTCATCCGTCATCTGTCATCTGCTCTTCGTCGTTCCTCTGCAAGAGAGTCATTATAAACACTGCAAGCTAAGTCTACCTTCATTCTGCATATTGATATTCAACTCTCAAGTCTGCATTCCTGTCCAGTTCTGTGCCTCTGTTCAATAAACTCTGTATTTTATACAACTTACCTGTCTGCATCCTTCTGTTGTGTGACAAACGGGAGAAAACAAATAATTTTTTCAAGAAAATACTTTGCTTATTTATCAGAACAATGTGATATAAACAGATTGAATCGTGTAACCTTATAGTAATCAAATTGAGCCCTGTACACTTCTGACCCCAAAACCAATCCTTAAAGGGGAGGTCTAATACTATTTCATGCACTCTGACTTATTTACAGTGCTGATGTGGATTTTCATGCTAAACATGGCCAAAGTCTAAAAAAAAATAAAAAGTTAAACGTATGACAGAGTATTTCTGCTCCTTCAGGGTTCGAATAAGTTTCAGAAAGGTTTTTTTTTTTTTTGAGTATCGGCCCTGTTTGACGTCTTAAAGGATGGAATTTATTTTATGGGCACTTCTCCGGGAAGAGTGTGTGCACACATCAACCAGAGCGAGAGCAAAGCAGCCCATCAACGTGCTTTATTCGGGTTACGGAAGTTGTCGGCAGCGCAGCGCAGCGCAGCACAGCACAGCACAGGACAATTAATGTTTGTTAATGATTTATTAATGAAAGTTATTATAAAGTGTTACCAAATATTCCATGGATTTCCATGAATTCCTAGATTAATAAAATGTTTCCAGTAATTACGATAAACCACTGTGACTTGACTGTTATACATGTGCTCTTATTTAAAAATGCGACTTAGTCCAGATTTAGTCGGGCTGTCAGTAAACACTCCAGAGAAAGACCATTGTGTCAATTGGATTGGCAGCTGCCACATATGCTCTGAGCTGCCATGTCCTTACATACTTTGTTGGCAGAATGTGTGCGTGATGCCTTTTCCTCTTTTCTCATCTCAGCATTTAACTTTTTAATCACATTGAGAGTGTGAACCGTGAAATGAATCCCATCTGTCCAAATGGCACTGGCTTTCACAAAATACTTTCCTCCCTGTGGAAATAAATTTTCATAGGATTAGGTTTGCGGTGATGTTTTCTGTGAACTATTTACCATATGTGATACAAATCAAATGCCGAAATGACAGAACGCAAAATAATCCTGTTTTGGAGTTTCTAGGGGGGAAAAAAAACAAAAAAACTTTTGGGTAAAACTGATGGGCAGATCTGCATTGATTCAAGTTTGCATATACAATGTCAGCCATATAATGTTTTCAATGAATGTCCATAGATATATATTTAACATGATACTATTTTTAATATTATCTTGCAATATTTATTGAATCAGGCAAATGGGGTGCAAGCACAATTATCACAATTACTGCCAATTTTACAGTCTCTGCACTGGCTAGTTAAGTTCCGTATCAGTTACAAAATATTATTACTTAACTACAAGGCCCTTAATAGTTTAGATCCTGCGTACCTAACTAGTCTTCTACCACGCTACAATCTATCACGCTACCTAAGATCGCAAAACTCTGGACTTTTGGTAGTACCTAGGATAGCAAAGTCCACTAAAGGAGGTAGAGCTTTTTACGCATTTGGCTCCCAAACTCTGGAATAGCCTTCCTGATAAGTTTGGGGTTCAGACACACTCTCTTGGTTTAAATCTAGATTAAAGACACATCTCTTTGGCCAAGCAGTCAAATAATGCATCTTATAATCTTGTGCTGCAGTTATATCTGATCAAATGCACATTATTTTTCTTTAGTTTGGGTTAAACAAATCATTTTTGCTTGTTTGGGATTGACATCCTGTGGAATTACACAAGCTTTAGTCTGGATCCAGCCCTTACAAAGAGCTGAGATGACCGAACACCTGAGAAGAGATGATGCAAACCCCTCAGAGGACCTCAGATGATGCCAAACCTGAAACAACATAAACTACCAAATTTTGCTACAAGTTTGATTGCAACATATAGTCATTGCTGTTAATAGTGTTCATCGTCTGTTTGATTACGTCATTGACTGAATTTCACCGTACATTTCTGCCATATGTACATAAACTGACAGTCACCACTGATAAGCTACCACTAAATATTGTAGAAACTTAATTTGCTGTAAAGTTGCTTTGCAATGATTTGTATCGTGAAAAGCGCTGTACAAATAAACTTGAATTGAATTGAATTGAAAAGCTCATCGGTCTGAAAAGCGAAGTGTGCTTTGATTGGCCAGCTATCCAGTGCGTTGTGATTGGCCGAATACCTCAAGCGTG